GAAAGAAAGAAAGAAAGAAAGAAAGAAAGAAAGAAAGAAAGAAAGAATCCCATGTGATCCTTTTTTTATATATTGCCCTTTTCTTTAAGTACCATTATTTATCCAAATTGGTCTTCCTGCGTCATCCCTCAACAAAGCCCATTTCTTTCTGGCTAGGACAGGCATCTGCCATTCATCTCAAGCTTCAAGCAAATCTCCTAAGGGGGTCTTAATTGTTGCCTTTGAACTGCTGCTTCCCATGTTCCCTCTCCGATGTGGGGGTTCACTTTGGCTCAGTCAGTCCCAACAAACAGGAAAAAACAACAACTTCAGCCCACGGTTCTCAGACAAAAAAAGTGTCTGAGGGGACTCCTGTTTCCTTAAGGGAGTACTGGCACCCCTTCCCCTGGGAACGTCTTCAGCCCACGGTTTTTGGACCCTCTCTGATCCAGGAGAACCTCCGTCTGACAGTAGTACTGGCACCTCCTGCCCACGGTTTTCAGATCCCTTTGGATCTGGGAGGACCTCTGCCTTGTGCAGTAGTACTGGCACCTCCTTCATCCCCTTGGCCCCTCTAGAACTAGGCTTTGCTTTGGGGCACAAGGCAAAATTAAAACAACAAAATTTCCTTCCTGTCCTTTAATCACAGCCCACTTGACTTTCCCCTCTTGTATACAGAAGGTCTCACACTCTGATGGCCCCTCCTTGCTTTCCCTATCCTGATGGTCATGGCTCCGCAGCTAGAGGCCAAACAAAGAAACGAGATCCAGCTGCTGTCCAAGGGTGAAGCCACTCACACACTCTTCCTCCTTCCCTAACCAAAGGTCCTGTGCTCTGGCAACCCCCCCATGCTCCCCAGATTGTTGGTCTTTCTGTGGTTAGGAAATGCACAGAGGAAGCAAGATCCAGTTGTGTTTGGGAGAAGGGCCCTCTCTCTCATACACATGCAGGCATACATATATTTCCCATGCTTCCCCATGGTTTCAATTTAGAATTTAGAAATACTCACCTTCCTTCCAAGCAGACTTTGAGCTCAACACTCAAAACCCTTTTAAAACCATTTTTCCCAAATGCCCAAGATCCAGGAAAACTCACCCACAGACTCAATGGGTCTGTTTGCTGGCAAGGGAATCTTACCTGGGCCTGGTCCATTGGTTAGCTTAGCTTGGAGTCCCATCTGCTTGGTGCCAATTGTTGGAAGAAATATCCTTCTGGGTTCAGTTCCAAGTGGGGAATAAAGATGCTGGAAACATGGTGACTGTTTGGAAAGATGGTTTAATGGTAGACAGGATCACATGCCTCAGGTGAAGAAAGAAGGGCAGAGCTGCTGAGAATCCTTTGGTTTTATGCCCTCTGTTGGGATTTGAATTTGAGCTTGTATTCTGATTGGTTGTCAGTCTCCCATGGGGCCATGCAGGGGCAACTCTGTAGGCTGTCCTGAGTCCCAGGCTTGGCTGAGCCTTGCTGGATGATGATGTAATGAAAGGGCTTTGGGCAATTCCTATTATAGCTGTCAGCTGGTGCTCCATTCAAAATCCAAGAAAGAAATACTTAGACTCTTTTAATTAGAGAAAAGATGTCTTTTACTGGAAGTCAAGTGGTAGCAACAAAAGAATTCTGAATCTGAGAAAATAGGCACGTAAATCACATATACAAAGTGATGGCAATGTTCCTACCCCCAATAGTTCAAATGGTTCTTCCAATTAAAAGTTGTGGATGTCATCATGTGGACATCTTCAGGTGGTGATGTCCATTGACCTTGGCATACTTTGATAAAGGTTTGCAGCTGTGCAGAGAAGAGAAAGCTAAGCAAGAAATAGAAACCTAAGCAAGAATGTACTCTCCCCCCTCCTCAGTTTATACAGTAGTAGTCTGCAACACCTCCAGCTCACTTCCCATACTTTCCCCCCCTCTTCCCCCCATTACTTATGACAGCCGAAAGATGCAAAGCAAAGGAAGAAAATCTTGAAGGCTGACATTCGGCCCTCCTAGAAAAAGGACGTTAGTCCTATAAAAGAGAAAACATAAAAGGTAATAATTAATAAACAGTCAACATGAAATAATCACATTTTTAGGGTTTATCAGGATATTTAGTACGAAACGCTTTGACAAGCGTAGGAGCTCTGACATCCTTCTCATTGACCCACTCTACCTGGAAAGATGGAAAATGCTTCCAAGCAACCAAATATTGGAGTCGACCCCTCCATTTCCAAGAATCCAAAATCTCTTTAACTTCAAAATGTTGTTCACCTTCAATCAGCAATGGTACAGGAGGACCAATCTGGGCTGGTCTCAAATCGGAAGTATGTTCGGGTTTTAACAAACTAACGTGGAAAACAGGGTGAATTCATCAAAGAGTCTTTGGTAATTTCAGTTGGACCACCACAGGGTTTACAATTTGTTCAATTGAGAAAGGGCCAACATACTTAGGACCAAGCTTCTTTGACTTTTGGGTGGTTTGTAAATATCTGGTGGACAAAAAGACTTTGTCGCCCACCTGATATGGTTTTTGTGGAGTCCTCTTTTTGTCTGCAAATTTCTTATGAGCTTGATGCGCATCATCTAATGCTTTACGAGTAACCGTCCAGGTAAGCTGGAGTTGTGTTATCCATTCATCTAATGACTGAATATTAGGCTTCTCACGTGGAAGTTCAGGTATGGGTACAAAGTCTTGTCCCGATGCCACTTTGAAAGGAGTAAATCCAGTACTACTATGTACAGAATTGTTATATGCTACTTCAGCAAATGGCAATAGATCAGCCCAATTATCTTGCTGATAATTTATGTAACATCTAAGGTACTGCTCCAATACTGCGTTAGTTCTCTCACAGGCCCCATTAGTTTGGGGATGGTGGGCAGAGCTTAAGCCCTGGGCGGAGCCCAATAACTTCAGGAACTCCTTCCAAAAATTTGAGGTAAATTGGACACCCCTGTGTGAGATTATGCATTCAGGAACCCCATGTAACCTGTAGACATGTAAAATAACCAGTTTGGCCAACATTTTTGCAGGTGGGATCTTTGAACAAGGTATGAAATGTACTTGTTTGGAAAACAAATCAGTTACCACCCAAATAACGGTGTTTCCCCCACTTTCAGGCAATTCCACTATAAAATCCATAGAGATTTCCTTCCATGGAGCCATTGGTCTAGCCACATTTTATAACAATCCTGCTGGCTTACCAGGAGGCCATTTGGCTGAGGCACAGGTAGAACAACTAGCTACACAAGTTTCAATGTCTTTCTTCAAGGTAGGCCACCAAAATTGCCGCTTAACCAATTCGTTTTCACGAA